GATGTAAAACAGTGGCTATAGCAACTGCTCTGGTTGTTGGTCAGAAGGTCAGAGTTGGTGGCCACAGCCCCTTCCCATTCATGCGCTGCTTCAGCTGGGCGTGGTCATTTGCCTGGTGACAGTGGGCCAGATCTTCACATCTATGGGCTCTGGGTCCTTGTGTGGTCTGATGTGTATCGAGGTGCCTCCATTTTCATTGTCCAGGACGTCTGGTGAGAAAGCATGCACAGAAGCCCCAGTGACCCCCTGGGGCATCGCCCTCCTCATCCCCACGGCAGAGCAGGGACAGCTTCCTTCTGCTCCTAGGACCAGTCCCTCCAGGGGACATGCCTCCTCTGACTGCTGGTTCACAGGCGTGAGCGCAGTCTCCGCTGCCAGTCCGGTTTCCACGTGGAAGCCAGCCTCTCTCAGACCAGCAGCGCTCCGATTCGTAAAACCAGGGCCATGGGATGGGAAGCAAACTTCCTCCAGCAGTAACTTCCTTTAGTATGAGGAACGCCACTCCTTCATCCGTGGTGTGCTTTCTGGACATGGGCACTTTGGTTTAAGGCAGTGGCCGGCAAACTCGTTAGTCAACAGAGCCAAATATCAGCAGTACAATGATTGAAATTTCTTTTGAGAGCCACATTTTTTAAACTTAAACTACCGTATATAGGTAGGTACATTATTATTAACTTAATTAGGGTCCTCCTTCAATCGCACTGTATGTGCGTGCCTGCAGTGGTATTTTGTGGAAGAGCCACACTCAAGGTGCCAAAGAGCCGCATGTGGCTCAGGAGCCGAGGTTTGCCAACCACTGGTTTAAGGCATGTGCCGAATGGGAACACACCCCCTGGCGGTGGAGCAGACGAGTCCATCATTCCATCAAGCTATCTGCTCTTGGGTGTTGGGCCTGTAGGAAGGCCACTGAATTGCTGGCCAGTGTTAGATTTCCTGGCCCTGAATGTGTTTGCTGCATCCCAGGCTCAGGATATGCACTCTGCAGACTCACAGTGCCGTCTGCCAGCAGCTGCGGCTCAGAGGGAGGGCATGTACAGACCCAGGCCTTCCATGCCACCCCTCTGTGTGGAAACGCTCTCATGGAACCAGCCTGCCCCCAGGCTGCCAGCCACTGCTCCTGGGCACGATGCCACATCCAGGATCATGCCCCAGCCCCTGCTGTTGACAGGATGGGAACTCCGAAGTGGAGTCAATTACTATGAGGAGAAACTCATGGTATTGAGCCTGTGCCACTGTCCCCACTTTCCACATGGCGCCGTGATGCCTTCACATTCACAGGATTTGAATTGAGTCCTGGCTGACCCCTTGACGGCAGCCTGAGCGCCCGAGAATCCCGCTAAGCTGTCACCAAGTCCCCGACACACAGGAACTGCGAGACAGTGTTTCTTGTTTTATTTTTTATTTATTTATTTTTTAAAAAATGAATCTTTATTGTTCATATTGTTACAGAAGTTCCCGCCGGGACTAGTTTGGCTCAGTGGTAGGGCGTTCGCCTGCGGACTGAAAGGTCCCGGGTTCGATTCCGGTCAAGGGCATGTATCATGGTTGTGGGCACATCCCCAGTAGGGGGTGTGCAAGAGGCAGCTAATTGATGATTCTCTCTCATCGATGTTTCTAACTCTCTATTCCTCTCTCCTCCTCTCTGTGAAAAATCAATAAAATATATTATAAAAAAAAAAAGTTCCTAATTTCCTCCCCCTCCACCAGGTTCCCACCCCACCCTCTGCCCTTTCCCCACCCCACATTGTCCTCATCCATAGGTGCACAGTTTTGTTCAGTCTCTTCCTGCACCGTCCCCCCCATCTTTTCTCCGAGAATCATCATTCCACTCCCCTTCCATACTTCTGATTCTATTATATTCAACAGTTAATATTGTTCATCAGGTTTTTTAATTCCCTTGGTTTTTAGATTCTCCTGTTGATAGTTACATATTTGTTGTTCATAATTTTTATCTTTATTTTCTTCCTCTTTCTAAAGAACCCCCTTCAGCAAGTCATATAATTCTGGTTTGGGGGTGATGAGCTCCTTTAGCTTTTTTTTATTTGTGAAGCTCTTTATCTGGCCTTCGATTCTGAGCGATAGCTTTGCTGGGTAGAGTATTTTTGGCTGTAGGTTCTTGTTATTCATCACCTTGAATATTTCTTGCCATTCCCGTCTGGCCTGCATGGTTTCTGTTGAGAAATCAGCTGACAATCGTATGAAATCAGCTGCAATCGTATGAGTGCTCCTTTTTTGTTTTAAATCGCTAAGTTTTGGGGTCATTTGTCATATGGCGACGGAGAACTAATTCGGAATCTGCTGTTTTTCGTCTCGGACTTCACCAAGGTGCCACACAATGCCGATGTCTGCTGTGGATACGTCACAAACTGCTCAAACTTCTGGGCCCACGTGGCAGGGTGTCTTGCGTGACAGCCTGGACCACTTTCTGCAGAGCCATTTATTACTCTGACTCCACTCAAAATTTCAAACTTCATCGGCAGCCTGGTAAATGAGCCAGTACCGCCCGTTCAAATGTAGTCTGTGTTATCTCCCAGGCCAGAGAGGCCCATGAGCATGTACTGGGGTGAGCGGCACAGGTGCAGACATCCGTCTTTCCCTTCAGAGAGGATAGGTATGTCCATTCAAGGACCAGGGTCCTGGACCTGCGCCGCTCCAAGCTCTGACATGCTACTCTGAGGCATCCTACTTCCTGTTTCCCAAATCCAGTTAACACAGCAGCAGGTCTGCAACGTAACAGGCCGAAAGGATGTGTAGCAAAATGTTCAAGGTCTCTCCTGAGGGCGCAGTCATGACACAACCCCGAGCCCACATCGTAATGGTTTATTGCTGTCCCTGCCATGAGGAGGCAAAATACACCTGGTCATCTTTTCAGAAAGGAGGGGAGAAGCAAACGTTTTCTAGGTCAATAGCTGCATATCAGGTGCCAGGGGGTTTGCTCCGGGAACGACCTCACACCCAGCCCCCTGGCTGCAGGTGCCACCCCCACCCCCTTGATGAAATGTGTGAGACTTTGTGCACAGGGCTTGACAAGCGACAGTCTGTGGGCCAGATCCTGCCTGTGGCCTGCTTTTGTACGACCTGCAAACCAAGAATGATTTGTGCATTTTTCAAAGGTGGCAAAAATAAAACAGGGAGGATGTGGCCAAGGCCAAGAGTGGCCCATCAAGCTTGAAATAACGACTGCCTGGACATTTACCGTGAACCATCCTGTGCTGCCCCTGCCCCACAGAGGTGAGGCCAGTGGGCGTGTGCAATGACCATAGCTGCAAGCTCAAGTCCTTGGTATTGGTTTCTGCAGGTCCCTCCTGGCCTGAGATGCTGGTTTTGGTTCACTGTCTTGGTGAGAGGGAATTCCACGGTAACATCCCTCACTCCAAGGTCCAGAGAAGCAATGCAGCTACTAAGTGTGTTTATCCTGGGCCTGGGGGGGGATCCCCAAGGGATGGGTGTGACCCTACTGGATCCAGTAGACGGACTTGGGCCAAGATGCCATCTCACACCTGAAATCCAATTTTTCTGTTTGATGAACCATGTGGGGTTTGGGCCTTTGAATATTAGTGTCAGTTCAGAGCTCGTATTTAATGGCCTTCAGAGTCACTATTTATTGACTTTCAGAAAGCCTAAGTATTCTTCTGTGTCCAGTGCACAGTCACCTGGTTGTATTAGTTTCCCAGGTCGGCTGTAAACAAAGCATCATAAACTGAATACACAACAGAAACTTGTCTCACACTTCTGGAAGGCAGAAGTTGGAGGTTAAGGTGCTACCAGGATTGGTTTCTTCTGTCCCAGATGGGATTAACTTTCCTCAGAGCCTAATCTCTCACTGAAGAAAAAAATATTCCTACTATCATCTATTCATCCATCCACCCATCCATCCATCCATCCATCCATATCCACCCACCCATCCATCCATTTATCCTTCAATGGATATTTGTTCAATAAGGCACCATTGTAGGTGCTGAGGCCACCTGAATGCACAGAGCAGACCAAGCCCCTGCATCAGGACCCTTCCATTCTACTGGGGGGAGGGGCAGTAATCAATAAACATGGCGCGTGAGGGGATCACTTCAGACATTCAAAGATAAAAATAAATAAATAAAAAAGAGCCATGACAGAGCAAGAGCCAGAGCAGGGCAGGGCCGCAGGGCAGGTGGGTGGAGGTGGCCCTGAGGAATCCCCTGGGAGGACGTGAGTGACTGACCCCACAGACAAGGGGAGAGGGGTCTGCCAGAGGGAAGAGCACCTCTACTTCATCGCTTTCCCAGTCTGCTCTTGTACATGCCACTTCCTTGTTAAAGGGGAATAAAAGTAAAGGATTAGTTTATATAATAAGTAACAATGCTCACTAGTTCCTGTGAGGAGGATGGCAGTGCCGACTGGGTCCTGAGTCCCTCTGCACAGGCTATGGGTCCTCCGTGAAGGACCTGAGAGTGCTCGGCTCACATGCGAAGTTGCCATGGAAATGTCTAACAAGACAGCACTAATGGAGGGAAGATGAAGTTTGGAGTTCAAGTCCTCTGGCGGGGAGGGGGAAGGCCTGCCATTCCCCTGCTCATCCTGCCCAGGTCAGCTTTCCCCCCTCCCCGGACTTGGATTCTCAAAACAGTTGGAAAGGTCAAGGCCTGCGGGCGGGCTCCTCTGCTCCTCCTCCTCCCTGAGTGGTGTGGCAGGGACCCCGGGAGCCACTGTTCACACAGCTGCGCCTTCCGTGGGCCATCTCTCTCTGTGAATCACTCCACAGTGAGTGTACTGTTGACATTAGCCGATACAGACCAGTGCACTGAGGAGACTCCCACGGATAAGAGCTGGGCGTTCTGAATCTCCAATCCCTCACCAAGATGACTACGAGACTCTGGTTTCCCTCTATCAGCAAACTCGTCCGTGTGGCTTGCCTGTGTTTAGAGAACACCTTTTTAATCAGTGGAGGACTGTGAGACCCTCCTTAGGCAAATGTTATCTAACACTCTTTCAGCAAACAGAGCCCAGGCTTAAAATCAAGGGCCCAGACAGATTCTCACCCCCGACTCGGAGTCTCCCAGGAGCAGTGAGGAGAAAGGCATGGCCACCATGGAGCCCAAAGTGATCTGTGTCCTGCTCATGGTCTTCTCGCTGGCCTTCAGCAGCCTGGCCCAGGTCCAGACCGGTAAGCAGCCCTCTTTCTGCTTCTTAGGGGGGCACTGGGCACAGAGAGGCAGCCCTGATGGCGGTCTTTGCTGCACAGTGTGTGGTTTTGAGCCAAGCATTGTTTTAGGCCCTTGAGAGGGGTTGGAAGGCAAAAGCAAGTGGCAGCAGCAGCGGGAGAAAGGGCCAGTGAGACCTTGGAGAACTGCCGTGAAAAAGTGGGTTCCTTGGTCGGCACTGTCTTCTGGTCCTGACGCCATGAGGCTGTTCTTGAACATCGTATTTTAAAGAGCAAGCGTTGATGTAGGGTGTATGAAAAGCACTTCTAAATGTCCCAGCCAAACCCTAGCCCAGGGAGTGGGACCACTCAAAAGTCTACACAGATGTCCAAGTGCCTACCCCACGGGTGGGCATCCCAAGACCCTCTCTAGGCCCCGTGCTCTGCAGAGCCCAAGCCACCTGCCCCATTGGCCTGCGTTCCATCAATATTGGTCCAATATTGGTTCCATCAATAGTTGCCCAGTGAGAGAGGGCACTGCTGCTTCCTTTGAATTTGTTTGTGTCTCAAGGCCTTTATCTTCAGAGTATGGTCAATTGTCTGTGATGTTTGCAAAAAGTGTTTTGTAAGCTACAAAGTGCTGAATCAACATTACTTGTTAATGTTAGAATGCATTGCTGGATTTCACAAAAGAATGCGTGTAGGTATCCTGCCCTCTCTGTCTAGTGGGAGTGTCCCACATCCAACTGTCTTTGGAGGAATTGTTTATCACGGAGTCAGATGCCCCAGGTCAAGGCCACCTGTGCCCACCTCTACCCTGAATCTCCATCCACCTGTCCTCTGACCAGCCTTTTTCTGTTCGACCTCCTTCCTTCTCTGCCCCTTCACTGCCGATGCTCCCACGGCCTCACTCCTCATCCTCCCTGCCTTCTCACTCCTGGCACACGGACATGTGCGCCTCTGAGCCCAGGGGACAGAACGGAGCTCCTCACCCTCCTATGCCCCCTCTCCCAGCTCCTTTCCCATCGCCTGCCTCAGCCTGCTGAGTTCACCTTCTCACAGCCTCTGGCCCCGAGGGCAAGTCCCACTGATCTTGCATCCAGACCATGTGGGAGCTGTCAGCTGGCCTGTCTGCCCTGGGGGCTTCCCCCATTGGGTCATCTCATCACCCCCTGGTGAAAGCTGTTGCTCTCAGGCTGCAACTGTGCACCCTTGCCCTTGACCTAGCTCCTCCCAGACCACCCACCTCAACCTCAGCATCGTCTCTGCACATGGACTTACACCTCCTTGAACACGCCTTGCTCTCCCCCTTCCCTCGCATTGACCACACTGCTCCCTCTGCGTGGAACACCCATTGCCCCATTCTGTCCCCTCCTACGGGAAGCACTCCTTGCTTTGCCCAGCCTCCTTGTCACTTGTCCCTTCTGTGCTTGACCTGAACACACTAGGATGGTCGCACTGTGCTGCTTTGTACATCTACTTGGCTTTCTCCTCCATTTGAGGTTGGTTTCTTAACAAGCATGTCTTCATTTTAATTTCACCACCACCTGGCACGGAGCCTGGCATGAGCTCGGTTTTTGAGGGATCTGCACTGCCTGTTTTTGCTGTGTCATCCTGTTCCTAGCACACGCAAATGGTTCATCAATAGACATAGTGATTGAGTAAATATGCTTAATAATAGTTAGTTGAAATTAATGAGCGAATGAACACATTGTCCAGGTAGGTGCAAGGTTACAGATTCCGGGCACCTTGCATTTTCCCTGAGGTGACGTGTTTACCTGCCAGGAAAGGAGGGCAGGTCTCCCTCTCGGACCCCGAGGCCTGGGTCTCCATCAGCGCGCCAGCCAGTTGCTGATTTAACTGGAGAACGAAGCAGGACGGGAGTGTGGATAGACACAGGGAGGAGTTCAGCCCCTGGCTGACCTTTGCCCCTGCCCCGTGTGATTTCAGAGACCTGCGTCATGTCCCCGAGCCAGAGAAAGAACTGTGGGTACCCAGGCGTCACGGCCAGCGAGTGCACAGCGAAGGGCTGCTGCTTTGACAGCACCGTCCGCGGGTACCCGTGGTGCTTCTTCCCGCTGAACGAAGTCCCAGAAGGTACGTCCCTGCCAACGCGGTGGGGCGGAGGGTGCGGAATGCGGGAGAAAACCCGCATGGGCCCTGGGGACTCTGTCCGCATGGCCAGCTGTGTTTTTGCCAGGATCGTGGCCATAGGGGCCTGGGGAGGAGTGGTGGAGCCTAAATCACCATGAATCCGGGTCTGAGGCAGAGGGGCAGGGCTGACAGACCGTTTGGGGAGGGACCCTGCCTTTTTCCTGGCTTTCCCCCACATCCGTACCCCAACGCTGTGAAGAGTCACCCCTCTGAGGCGGAGCTCGCTGGGTGGGAGGGCAAGGAATGGCAAAATATGAAGAAGGTCCATGTTTGCTAAAGAGTCTTCTCGTTGGTTCTTTCAAGTCAAAAACCCCCTGGAATTATTGCAAAGTGAGAGAACATCCTTATCCTCACTAACACATCTCTTCTCCCGCACCTTCCCTTTCAGAGGATTGTGGATTTTAGCCGCTCTCGGTGGGAGTCACGTCTACACTTAGAATGGACCCCCTTCCCCCCAGCTGCCGCTCAGCCTCGCCACCCCCCCCCACATCTTCAGCTTCTGTGTCTGAGCCTCATCTCACCGCATGGATTGACAGCTTTGATTTTTCCTGCTCAACATTGACCTGAAAATTAAAAGAGACGAATGCTACTTTGTGCTTTTAGTTCTTCTAAAAAAATAAAAATGATTTTCTTTTCTTTCAAGGCTTCTTGTCATGGGTTATACACTAATCACTGTCTGGGGTGAGAGCTGATGGGTGGGTGAGAGGAGGATGTGGCCACTGGGTTGCAGAAGTTGCCTCAGTTGCTATTAGCAACTGGGGTCCACCCAGAGGGCCCTTCACTGCAAAGTCTTCCAGAAGCACCTCCCAGGCACACCCTTGTCAAGTCATGAAAATAGGCACCAAATTCTATCAATGTTCCCCCAGAATTCATTGTGGGTGGCACACTGTCGCGTAGCAAAAACCACCCATAAATGTCTTCACTTCCCCCAGCCCCCAACCCCGCTCAGCACACAGACATGCTTCTGTCCCGTCATGGCCCAGCACCCTGCACAGGACTCAGAGCTGGTGCTTGCTCTCTGCCACACTGTCCTTCTGGAAACTCACAAAAACCCTGAAGAATTCCCACAGAGGAATGCAGCTGACGGGAGGGGGAGAGGCCTGGATGGAGAGCGAACAGAAGGCGAGGCAGTGGCCGTGCCCCACGGGGTCTGGAACAAGATGCTCAGAGGGTGCTAGGAGCAGGCCCCGTGTCATCCTCCTCGGCCGCCCACACATGTCCGTGGACCTACCGCACTCACTCACGTTTTGGGGGTCAGTGGAGCTGCTGAATGCTGGGTGTGGTGACAGGTGGGGTAGGTGGACCCGAGGGGACAGAGGCCCTGAGTGACGTGCCACTTCCTTTTCATGGCCAGAGCAGGTGGGGTGGGATAAGAGAGGAGGAAGTTGGGGAGAAAAGGCCCCAAAAGAAGGAGACATTTCCTCCTCACGCCCAGGAATACAGGCACAGAACCTGCCCCGGCCAGCCCCTCGCACAGCAGCCCCTCACCCACGGTGCATCCCCCCTTCAATGCCCCATGGTGATCATCTCAGGGTAGGGGGACCTGGAGGGGGATATCACACCACATTCCTACCCATGTCTCTCTACAGCCATGAGCACACGGGCTGTAACACCTCGGCTGCGCTCACTGCCCAAAAAACCTGGCGGGCCGGATCTGACTCCTCTGCAGGCAGCATGTGGCCCGCGGGCCGTAGTTTGAAGACGCTTGCGTCTAAGGGTCAGAGCTAATTATTAGATGCTGGTAGTTGAAGCAGCCTCCACCTGTTAGTCCTAAATTCACTGATTGGCTTTTATTGGAGTTTCCTGCTCAGGGGATACAGGTGTATCCTATCCTTTTAATCTTAATAAAAGGGATGGAAAAGACAGCGCAGGCAGTAGTTCTCCCACTAGAGTTGGACTACCGCCTGGCCCCCATTTCCCAAATTAAATCTTTTCATAGTCTCTTTTTCATTTGTGGATGGCCTTCTCCAGCACCCGATCCCTGAACCAGAACCCTGAATCACGAGGGACGTGAAAGGGGCTTCCACACACGGGGAGTGTTAACCTGCCCGGCTCTCACTTGGGGTTGTTGATTGGTTTCACACACGCCGTGGCTTGAGCGTCTTGGTTTGATCCATGAGCTTGTTTGTTCTGGGGCTGGCAGTGCAGTGGAAGTTACCAATGCTCCCTGATAAATTCCCACACAATAGGGTTCTGTTCAGACGATGTTGAACTAAAGACCAGGCCAGGAACCAATTCTCCAAGCCAAGTTGTGGCTTAAGAGCGTATTTGTAGAAGGATATTGTGAACTTAAGAAAACTCCCTCGCCTTTCTTTGTGAGAGTGGGAGGGGCAGGTTGTGAAAATATTCAATAAATGTGAGCATGATAGGAAACAACAGTGGCCATTAGTTAGGTATTTGATCCAAATATCAATGGCTATTAGAAAAAATGTCATCCACTTAAAGGTCCGTGCAGACAGACGATTATAGTTAGTAACAAAGAGATGTGTAGAGGTATTTTTATTTTTTAAAAATTGAAATTATTAGGATGGCATTGATTAATAAAATTATATAGGTTTCAGGTGTATGAAGTGAGAGCCCGGGCAGGTTAACACTTCCGGTGGGGGCAATCTCTATGTAGGATTGTGTGTTCTTAATAGTTCTCCTCAGGTCTTAATGTTATCCTGAGTTGGACATTCTGTAGGTAGCAGACAGATTAAATTAGGTGGGTCTGCATATATCTACGTATATATGAGGTGCGATGAAGTTGAGTGGACATAATAAGTAGGAAACCTCTATGCTAAAGGCAAACATTGAAGGTGTTTTATTTATTTACTTAATCTGTTCCAGGTCATCAATGTCAAGAACTCAGAAGAGCGCGGAGTTTACCCTACTTGCAAGCTGATAGTTTTATGGATGCTGGCAGAAGGAGAGCCCTGGTTCAGAGATAAAGGACTATATTGCTCACGGTGCAGCAAGCAGCATGAGGGCATCATGTTTGTGCCCCCACATCCTCCTGGGGTGACACAGATGGGCTCAGACAAATGCTGGAACAGACGGTGGGTTGCATTACAGGACAGGAACCCTGACTTCTTAAGGAACTCAAATCTTTTTAGGGGCAGTAAGCTTGTCTGCCCTCCGCTCCCGATGGAAGTGCCATACTTGCCTTCTCAGACTGTTTGCTCCACAAACATCCTTGGAGAGATAGTCTGGCATGAAGGACTGTTTTGACAGCCTCCTACTCATCTCCTTGGTGGTGGCCGGGTATTCCCATCCAGGGTTGTGGGGGTGGCCAACACTGGACAGCTGAGATCAGCTCCAGCTTGCATCACATACGCTCATGCCATGCAGGGCCACCTGGGGGTGCACTCAGGAACAGAGTGAACAATGGGGGGCTGCAGGAGGAGGCTTTGCTGCATCAAGAAGGCAGGGTATTCATGGTTCCTGCAGAGCATGAGATTGGCTTGTTTGAGTAATTCTGTGGGCTGGCAGGGAAGTGGGAGCCCCTATACAGGGCAAGCGGGAACTGTGCCATGTCTCCTGATAAGGAAGTTGGCTTGGCCAGGGACCTTATCTGGGGGGACAGGTGGGGAGAACATGTGGTCAGGCCACCTGAGGCCCTCTCAGTTCCACTGAGCACTGAGTCTTAATTTTAGGTCCCAGACCATTAGGACAGTTAAAGAGACATGCACAGATGTGAGAGGCACAGATGTGAGAGGCACATGGATAATTGTCTCTCAACAATTTTTAAACTTTTAAAAGTTTATTTTTAGAGAGTTTTAAAGATGATAATACAGGAAAAGGCAGATTCATTTATTTGTTTGTTTGTTTGTTTATTGAGGCCCAGTGCATGAATTCATGCACCAGTGGAGTCCCTTGACCTAGCTTTCAGGATCAGGCTGAAACTGGCTCTCAGACATCCCCCAAGGGGACCTGGATTGTGAGAGGGCACAGGCCAGACCGAGGAACCCCACTGCTGCACAATTAGGGCTGGGGAGGGACTCGGGAATTTGACTAGCCAGGGAGGGGCCACAGCAGGGCTCCAGGTTGTGTCTGGCCTGTCTTGCTCAGTCTCAATCAGCCAGACCCCAGCAGCAAGCTAATCTACCAGTAGGAGCATCTGTCCCCTGGTGGTCAATGTACATCATAGCGAGCGGTTGAGCAGTCGAGCAGTCTTAGCACCTCATTAGCATATTATGCTTTAATTGGTTGAATGGCCAACTGGTCAACCAGACACTTATCATATTAGGCTTTTATTATATAGGATTGATTTCAAAGAGGAAGGGAGAGGGAGATAGAAACATTAATGATGAGAGAATCATTGCAAGCCTCCCACTGGAGATCAAGCCTGAAACCCAGGCACATGTCCTTGGGCATAATCAAACCTAGGACCCCTCAGTCTGCAGGCTGGCACTCTATCCACTAAGCAAAACTGGCTAGGGCAGATTTTGTTTTTCTTAAAGAACCAGATGGTAAATATTTTAGGATTTGTGGGCCAAACAGTCTCTGTCACAAATAATCAACTCTGCCATCACAGCTTGGAAGTAGCCTTAAACAAATTCGTAAATAAATAGGCATGGCTATGTTTCAATAAAGTTTTATTAAAAAAAACAAAAAAACAACAGGCAATGAGTCCATGCACCATAGTTTACCAACTCCTACTATAATAAATCAGTTTACCTTGATATGGTAATGTAAGTGATTTAAATATTTTGACGTTTTAAGATCAATCAGATTGTGGCTTGTGTTAGTATGGTGTAAAATAAAGCAAAACAAAGCAGCCACTCAGATATCAAAGAGACATCTTAAAGTATTGTATGTCTTAAATAAAGTCTTTCAAAGAAGTACAAGGACAAATCACATTGCACAACACGTTGGAAAATGTGCTAGAAGTTATAGCCACCCAATTATATTCCCAAATATAATTCATCAAGAAATCTTGAACTTCATTCCCTCCCCAACTCTATACCAAAATTCTCACCAGCAGTAGTTCATTTGTGTATGTCTTCCCCTAACTTTGGCCGACTCCTTCATTAAGTAGATAAATTTAATCATGGGCTCCATGGGCAGCACAGCCAAATTCCAGAAACCTGGAAAACTGGGGAGGAAATTGAATTGTATGCTGTTCACCCCCACCCCCCCTGCACCAACCCTCTCCCCCACTTCCCCCAACACACACTCTTCTTCTACATTTAGGGGCGCTAGACATGTAAATGGTAATAAAAATAGTTTTTCCCTGATGATAGTGTACAATGAGATATGATTCCTCTTGGGCTGTAGGAGGCACATGAGACATTAGAGAGCACTGACTAAGCCCACCTCCCTTTACAAATGACACTGTAATCCAGAGGCGTGAGGAGGCTTGCCTGAGTTGTGTGCATCTATCAATGTCTAGATACTATTATTTTTATAAGATCTAAAGGTAATCTGGGAAGTAGGCAACTTTAGGTGGGAAGTTCCCGTTCCTCAGCTCCTGGGTGGCTGTCTCTCCACTTCTTCACTCCACTCCCCTCATGAAGGAAGCCCTGATGTGCAGACACTGGGTCCAGTGCTGAGATTCACAGTGAATAGGAGATATATTCTCGTGTAGACCATAAAATGGGCAATAGCTTTAGCCCTTCCTTTGCGTTGCTGTAAGGATATGATCTAGCTGGAAGGATATGATCTAGCCTATGAAATCCTCAGGTGATCACTTGGCACAAAGTTAGCTGTTATCGTTGGTACAGTTAACAAGAGAAAAGTAAAAATCTACTTACTAAAATGTAGGTGCAGCTGATGTTTTGAGTCAGGTGAACAGAAGATGTTTGGGAGAGGGGTGAGGGACCTGCCATCTCTCTGAGGAAAGTAAGGGGAATCTTTCTGGAAGAAGTGACTCCTGAATTGAGAGCTCAAGTGCAGGAGGGAGTTAGGAAGGTGAATAGTGGAGGGAGGGCACTGAGAGAGACGAGGGCACACCAGCAAAGGCTCAAAGGCCAAGGTGTGTGTAGAGAAGTGTGATAGGCATACACTGAGAGGGAGACCCAGCAACAGGAGAGGCTGGGGGTATGTAAGTCCAGATCATGAGGAATTTCGGAGGGTTGCTGAGCTGAACTTATTTTTGCACCCACCCGGGCTTCTCCTTTCACCTAATCAGACTCATCTCTGTGGAGAGCAGCCCCCTCCCCAAGATGGAGTGAGGAAGTGCTGGCCAGGGGAGCCCTATTGGTGCACCATGGAGGAGGGGTCTCCTGCCCTCCTTGGAGGGCCCCCCGTTCCTGAACGAGGGGAATCTTCTCTCTGCTGATAGTTGGCAGCTGGCCTGGTCATTTCCCCAAATAGCCTTGGGCCATATCTATTTAATTCCTGTGGTAGGCACCTACTTTATCGGGAGAAATGCATGGCTTACCCCTTCCTGGGTGTGACCCTGTGGTGCCCAGCTCCAGACATGCATGTGGCCAGTCTTCCACGTTGGCATCCTGGAACGGCCCTGCTCCCGCTGGGCAAGGAAGCCGCCCTGGTGCCCAGAGCACGGCACCTGGCCCGGAAGCCTCGCCTGCGTGGCCCTCTGTCTTGCGGCCGACTATCTCAGCCCCATTTCCTAACAAAGGATCCGAAGGGGGCCGGGGCCAGAGGTGAGAGGGAAAGGTTACTTCCGCTTGCTGAGCAAACAGAGAGGCGATGATAAAACGCCCGCTGGCAGCGGACCCGGCATTCTGCAGCGGCCCCGGTGCAGCTGAGCGAGCGCGGACATGGCAGGCGCCCGGCTCCTGGCAGCGGTCCTCGTCCTGGGCCTGTGCGCCATGGCGGGGGCCGGGAAACCATGTAAGTGAACGCCCCGCAGTGACCCTCGTGGCTCAGTGTCCACATCTGGGCAGCGGGGCCTCTGGGCCAGCGAGGTCCCCAGGGTCTCTGTTCCACTGGCTTCTCTCAGGGGGAGGGGAGGAGGGTTCGGAGCTGCAGGGAGGAAGCAGCCGGGAAGGCACCCGAGGTTTTCGGTGTGGGCTGCACGCCCAGCCCTGTACACGTTCACACTTGCTTTCCTGCGGTTCAGGGAGGATGCCTGAGGTCTGTGAGACAAGGTCGGGGTGACCCCTGGTGCTGGGGGGCCTTCTTGAGGAGAGGGGCTGGGCACGAGGCCCCCTCAGGGGCTCCTTGGAGCCCGGCTTTGATCACTTTTCATCTCGGTCTCCACGTGGGTCCACCTGTCCACCTCTTTGCAGAAGGTTATTTTATTTTTTTAAATATAATTTTTACCAATGATACAATTGCAGCAAAACCCTGTCACGTGTGGGTGGGACAAGGCTTTGCACGTCCCTGGTGGACACGAGTGAGCCCGGAGCGGGGCAGCGTGCAGGGGTGCTGACCCGTCTCCCCACAGCCCCCTGCCAGTGCTCCCGGATGAACCCCGACAGCAGGAAGAACTGCGGCTTCCCGGGCATCACCAGCGAGCAGTGCTTCTCCGCCGGCTGCTGCTTCGACGACTCCATCCCGGGGGTGCCCTGGTGCTTCACGCCGCTCCCCATGCAAGGTAACCGCAGGGCAGTGGGCCCGCAGCCCAGGCCCACAACGGTGCCGGGGCCCGGTGCCCAGGGCCGCCAACGGGAAGAGAAAATCCCCCTTCACCTGTGTCCACACCCGGAGCCCACGTGCCAGCCCTTGGCCCCTTTGGCAGACGCCTGTGGGAGCCCGTGTGTGTACAGAACCTGGTTCTCTGCACTTGAGGAGAACAGCCTGCAGACTGAAGGGTCCCAGGTTCCATTCCGGTCAAGGGCATGTGCCTTGGTTGCGGACACATCCCCAGTAGGGGGTGTGCAGGAGGCAGCTGATGGATGCTTCTCTCTCATCGGTGTTTCTAACTCTCTATGCTTCTCCCTTCCTCTCTGTAAAAAATCAATAAAATACGTGTTTTTTTTAAAAAAAGCAAACAACAGCGCTGGGGCCTCTCCTGCAGTAAAAGCGTGCCCGGAGGTGCTGCCAGGGGAAGGAGGCCCTTCATGGCACCGCACTCACGTGGCTGCTCGCAGACTCAGCACTAGGAAGTTAGGTCCACTTCTGAGAGTGGCTTTGCGCCAGATGCTCCAGAGAGCAGGTCGCCCATCCCGAGGCGTGCACACAGGAAAGTGGGTGCATGGCAGGCTGGCGTGTCCGGAACGCACACCCGGCCTCTTGCCTACACTCCCGGGGGGGGAGGGGAGGGACTGAGTGCGAGGCTCCCAGGCACTAAGGCTGGCTGCTGGCCGGGAGCCTCCCTCGAGGGGACGTGCTGTTAGGTTTCAATACTTTGTGCCAAATGCTTTAGAGCCTGAAAGCTACTTCTCCTCTCTGGACTCGGTATTCCCCTCTGTAAAATGGGGCAGCCAGAGAGGAGTCCAGAGAGGAGATATAACTTTCTTGAGGCCCCAGTACTTTTGGGCTTCTGACGTGTGACATCTGGGGGGTATGGGTGGCCAGCCGCTGGCACCAAGCCGTGTGCAGGCCTCGGGTGGCCCAGCCTCAGAAGGTCCTCCTGACACATCTCGGCTGTGAATCAGAGGTGTTCCCAAAGGGAAAGGGTGGGAATTGTCTAATCCAGGGGTCGGCAAACTGCGGCTCGTGAGCCACATGCGCCTCTTCGGCCCCTTGGGTTTTTAGCAAAGGCCGGCTTAGGAGGACCCTAATGAAGTGAATAATAATGTACCTACCTAGATAGTTTAAGTTTAAAAGCTTTGGCTCTCCAAAGAAATGTCAATCGTTGTGCTGCTGATATTTGGCTCTGATGACGGATGAGTTTGCCGACCACGGCTCTAGTCCACAGAGCAGCCTAACTGCGTCTCTGTGTTGTTTCTCTCCCACCCGGTGGCGTGACAGAAAATGAGGAGTGTGTGATGGAAGTGTCGTCCCGCGTGAACTGCGGCTACCCGGGCATCAGCCCCGAGGACTGCGCGTCCCGCAAGTGCTGCTTCTCCGACGCCATCCCCGAGGTGCCCTGGTGCTTCTTCCCCAAGCCGGTGCAAGGTAACCTCGCTGCGGGCAGCCGCCCGGGGCCCGGGCACAGGACTTCTCAGAAGGTGGGGGCCGGGGAGCGGGGGTGATCTTACCCGGACGTCCTGCCGGAATGCAGCCGAGGCCCCGGCTCCCGGCCCAGAGGGGCCATTTCTGGGGACATGTAGGCTGATGGGTGAGCTTGCCTTTCCCGTGAGGCAAGTCCAGAACATTCTCAGCAAGGGCGGCATCCTTTAAGCCACGCTTAGAGCCACACAGCATCCTGGGTCTTTATGGCTGTTTAAAAGCAGTGTTTTCAGCTGTGCCCCTGGACCGCAGCCCACACGGTTGGCCTCACAGTCCAGTCCCCATGTTTGGGTGCTACTAAATGGCCTCGCTGTGCTGGGTACTGGGGGCGGGGCCCAGAACAGAGCAGACGTGGCCTCCTCTCTATGGACCTCCTGCCCTCTCACGTGGCCATGCATGCCAGGTTCTGCCCCGGCGTCTGCTTCGGTGCCAGTCCCAGCCCCCTCCCCTCCTCCATCGCAATGCGTCTCCTGACACTGAGCTTGGCAAGATAAAAGAAAAGCAGGCATTTCCCCCCAAAATGGGAGGAGGGCCCTGGTCCTTGAAGAGCTCAGCCTCCCCTTCCAGAAATTTCCAAGGGCGATCTAAGAGTCCCCCTGGAAGATGGCCAGCTGTTTGGGGAGACTGGCCCCCCAAGGCCACCCCAGCCCCGGGCGTTTGTCCCAGCAGGGGAGCTTCCTCCACGGGCACAGCTGGGCATGGGGCCTGGTGCCACGGGACCCACAGCACCCTTAGCTCAGGCTCCGGGCTCTGACCTCTCACCAGCGTCTCGCTTTGTACATTTCCAGACTGTCATTACTAAGAGGCAGTGGCTTCAGGGGACCCGCCGGCTCCTGCATGGTCTGAACAGAGAGGGGACTTGCCAGCTCATCCGGCTCCTGTTCCGTGTTTCCTGAGCGCCTGGGTTTTCTTTGTCCCTTTATATCTGGCTCAGCGGTTTCACATTCAGTGTCTTCAAATAAAGGAAACCCTTACCATCGGCTCCATTTTATTGTGGCTTCATTGACACAGAGGCAGAGATAGGTGTGTGTGTGTGTGCACGTGTGTGGGTGTGTGCATGTGTGTGCATTTGTGTGTGCGTGTGTGTGTGTGTGTGTGGCTTTAATGCTCTTTCATTTCCCATATGAGCAAAAATTCATCCCATGTGTCTGGCAACTCGTGCAGCAATCCAGTACCCCGTGTGAGTGAGTTTCTGAATCCGCCTCACTTCTAACTCCTGCACCCGTGGGTCGTGTGTATACACACGTGTGTAAACTCACTTGACTCTAGCCCTTAAGAGTCTTGCAGTAACATATGATTTCAGAACGCAACTGCAAAGTCACTTCCCTGTGACCCAAGGCATCTTGGACCAGCTGCCCTTGAACCGAGGGCCAGGGCCCCCAGCCCCTCTGCGGACGCCGCTTTTCAGAAGGAGGCCACCTGTGGCCTCGAGCCGGTCCTAGCTTCCTCTCGCTCACAGCACCCTTGCGGGTTGAATAAGTGGGTGCCTGTGTCTGGAGCTCGGAGTCTCAGAAACACTCGGGACAAATGGCCAATGAGACAGGCGCGGGCGATGGTGAGCTTGTTGGTCACAGGGTGCTGGTCCTCTCACCTTCGCCCACAGGGTGCAGATCACACGTGCAGAGGCACTGAGAGTCTGGAGGCCTGGCTCCCGGAACCCGCGTGGCTGCCCTGCCTCTGGGTTTGGCGGGAGCTCCTGGCTTCTGGCCGGTGTGGGCGCGTTCTGGCCTACGGACCTCTTGTTCTCAGGCAGAGCGTGGACCACGGGCGGAAATCTCCGGGCCCCACCCTGAAGGTTTTCTCAAAATCCTCCTCTTGGGCCCCACCCCCTCCTACGTCTTCCCTGAGGGTCCTCTTTGGCACATTAACACCCTCATTTCTGAGCTGATTCCTACAGTGCCCTCTGACGATTGCCTGCGGAGTCTTAAGCGATTTCAGGGGCGTTTGCTAGGAGCTTGGGGGTCCTTGGGACGTTTTCCTGATTCAATATGGTAGCTCCTGTCAGCTCCAAAGCCCCTGGTTGCAGCTCACTGCACGGCATCCAGCGTGGCTTGTATTGCGCTGTCCCCTCCTCCTCCTCCTCCTCTTCCTCCTCCTCCTTCACGTGGCCACCAAAGGGTCCTCGTTGGCCCTGGAGCAATGGTTGGGGACCTACGAACCCTCTCATCAGAAAAACGAACCTTTCTTCGTCCTTCTCTCTGCTCCCTCTGTCTCATCCCTCCCCCTCCTTCCCTCCTGTGAGGAGTTATTTTCTCCTCCGCCATCTCTGCTCCTCTCCCTCCATCCCCCTCCCCTCAGAGGCACCAGGACTCCGCTGGGCTCTGGCAGTCATGCCGCTGACGGTGAGGAGGGTGAGGCTGGGTGCAGAGGGTCCGCCTGTGACCATGATCATGCCGTTGGGTGCAGGGGAAGGGGAAGCACCCCCTGCCCCCCACACTCACACACTCCCTGGTCTCCTGGCTCCTGAGGTTCACGCAGGCCCTTGCTGTCCTGCTCAGGTGCTGAAGGTGGTCTGAGAAGCAGTCACAGGAGAGGGGACCGGCCGGCACTGGCGGAGGGGACACCACAGGGCACGTGTGGGTGGTGTCCCAGGTGAGTGATGTCGGGGCGCCTCTCTTAGTGCCCAGGTTCCCAGGAGCTCTGTTTGTGAAGCGTGGGTAATGCTGACACCTCGCCAGTGGCCGTGGGAGAAAAGTAATGTTTGTGAGCTGCCTGGTGCCCAGTGGCCCCACTCCGAGGGGCACCTTCCCGGAGAGCCTGGACAGAGGGGCCTGTGGTTCCTCTTGTCCTGACACCAAGCAGGGCCGCCCTCTGTCCAAGTAGCAAAGCCCTTTCCACACGGCGTCAGGGCAGTGTGACTGCGTGCTGGTGTGGGTGGGTCCGGTGGGCTGGGCATTTGCTCATTACACGTACTGCACATGGACTGCACACGCACTGCACACGCACCGCACACCCATTGCACACACACTGCACACGCACTGTACCTTGAATATATGTAACTGGCTCTCGCTTTCAAGGTGGTTATGTCCTAGAAAGTCACTGGCTCTGAACTGGCAAATATTGAACCACGGGGATCGGGGAAACACGGGCCAGGTTCCCAGGAGCGTCTTGACCAGTTCCACTCACTGACCAATGCGTGGCGCTGCCTGAGGTGTGCTTCTGTTTGCAGTAGCTTACTGTGTGTTGTTGGCTCACTAGCGCTGAGCTCACAGCCACCTGCAACTCAGCTCACTGTCGAGGAAGCTGGCCCAGAACCTGCTTTCTCTCTGAGAAACACCACAGCCTTGTCCCTAGGACGCTAGCCAGCCCTTGCCCACTGTGCTTGGGGACCACTCACGTGCACAATCACCACCGAAAAGCACAAAAATGCCAGCAGGGAGATCTACACTGGCCGTGAAAAGATGCGCGCTTACAGCCAGGGTGGAAACGGAAAGGCAGAAGGACCTTGTTGGACCTCATGAGAGTACCTCAAGTTTTTTATTTTTAATTTTTTTTATTAAATATATTTTATTGATTTTTTTTTTAGAGAGGAAGGAAGAGGGATAAAGAGCTAGAAACATCAATGAGAGAGAAACATCGATCAGCTGCCTCCTGCACACCCCCTACTGGGGATGTGCCCGCAACCAAGGTACAAGCCCTTGATGGGAATTCAACCTGGGACCCTTAAGTCTGTAGGTCAATGCTCTATCCACTGAGCCAAACCAGTTAGGGTGGACCTTGAGTTTTTATGCTCTGCACATTCGTGCGTCAGCCTTCACCTCACACGCACCGGGAGTACTGACTTTGGAGTTGCGAATACATTTTAGCGAGCAGGCAAATTGCGAACAGGGAGTCTGTGAGTAGTGAGGAGCACCTGTGTGCTCATTGCTGGTAGCAGATGTTTATTCTGTGTGATGCATACGCATGGACACCCCTGGCTGTTGTTTCAGGGTTCAGGGAGACACCCCTTTGCCTGAAGGGGGAGGAGGAAAGGCCACAGCCTCATCGGCACCTCCACGGAGCCCCATGGCGTCCGGGCGCTGCAATAAGACTATCTGTATCGGGTCTCCGAAAGAGAGCACTGCACTTACGCTGGCCACAGTTTCTGTACCTATGTCTCTTCCTCGCTGTGTGACCTTGGGCAAGTTACTTAGATGTGTGAGATCCTCCCGCCCGCCAACTGGTGGGCAGAGTTATGACGTTACTGGCATCTGTCACAGAGACATCCCCAAGACATTGAACTACCAATCAGTGCGTGCTGAAGTGCCCTGGAGCCCACCCCTTCCTGTTCCGCCCGGGGTCCAGCCCTTTCCAGTTCCTCCCCTCAAAAAGACTCCTCAGACCCTCCCTGTGCTGCTTCTCTCCATGTCCATCTGTGGGGGCAGCCCAGCTCGGTCCTTTCTCCCCTCCCCACTCCTTCAATTCTGATTTCTCTACCTTCGTGATGAGTCCCGCTCATTACTGGGGGATAAACTTTACTTTAATATGTCTTGGTGGTCAGTTTCCTGTGCCTCAAATCTTACAAGATGCTCTGCTCCTCATCTTACTGTCTTATGTGCAAGTGAAGGTGTTAATAGCCCCTTTTCCTACAGGCTTTTCACAGGATACAAGAGTTAATTCATGAGATGAGCTTAGAACATGTCGGGCACACAGTGAGTGCTTAATGAGAACATGATGCTAGTCATTATTATCATTAATACACACACTTCCCCGTAGGCCCGGCTCCATTAATCAGGATGACAACGTGGTCCCATTACTCAGTGCCCATCAGCTCCTCCAGGAGCCCACATCCTTATCCAGGAGGCCCATCCCTGCCAAGCCCCCTTCCTGGGGTTCTTCTGTGGCCCTGGCTAACACTATGGTCCCAGTGGGCAGCGGTTCCATCACAGGCTGGACTACCTACCGAGGCTGCCACCTCACCGGGAAAGCCGGGGGTCTGCCTGGCTGGCGGTGTTCCCTGCCCTGCTCATGGCCTCTGCTCCTCCCCGAAGTTCTGGTCAGTATCTGTGGGTCGTGGTGGGAAGTCCCAGCACACCCCTGGAGTTTCCTTAGCTTCCCTGCCACCTTGGGGGTTGGGAATAGAGGATTTGCCTCCATTCCATGGACCCCGAAAGAGTCTGATCCCGGGTCCAGTGCAGCCAGCCCTCTCTGGCAGCTCAGACACAGATGTGCTGATGCCCCAGCTCCAGGGCTGGGTGACCAGGTTCCCACAAGGGCCCCTGAGTGACAGCTTCCATATTTATTTTCCTGTGATTGAACATAGATGTTCAATCTTAATTTCACACCATCGAATACGTGACTTAAGGGAAGGAAGGACCCTTCTATTCGTCCCATTCGGACTCATGGCTAATGAATCTAAGGTGTTTTCCACCTTAAAGAGCCTCCCTGGGCCAAGGATGCTCACTCCGCTGCCTTTCCTCTAGTGCCCCCCTGCTGGCCAACACAAGAACACAATTCTCCAACCTTCACCTGCCCCCTACTGGGCACTTCAGGCAGCAATGATGTGGCATCTATGCCTCTGTATAGCTTAACCTCAAGAAATTGATCTCACTGACTATTGTAAGTTGCGGAGCTTCTAAAGCCGGATCAGCCTGACTTTGTTGATGAGGACTCGAGAAGCAGAGATTCTGTTTAAAGTTGCACCTGGGGGTTAGAAACAGCTCTCTTCCCGCCTCGCCTTCCCTCTGTGTCCTCACGGGGGAGACTTACATGCACATGAGAAAGAGGGGCCGGCTCTTGTCTCTCTTCCTCTTCTTATAAGGACTCTAACCCTGTCAGATCAGGGTCCTATGCTTACGGCTTCATTTAAGCTTAATTATGTCCATAAAGGCCCCATCTCCAGGGACAGTCACACATGAATTGGGGGACCACACAACTCAGTCACAGAACCACCCTTCCATCGACCAGTTCACTGTCTTCACAACGGGAATACAGGTCATGGTGATGTTTATACCTTGAGGTGTGTGTGCTTTTTTGCATTAGCTTCCTGGAGGTATAATG